CATCCTCGGGGACCAGAAGGAAATTAGTAGGGATAAGTCAGGCGGTAAATTCTAACCAGGGCCCCTTCATAAATATTGAAGTTAAAACTGAGCAAAGTTTACTTAAACAAAGAGCCAGAGAAACGGCAGAGGGCCGACTGGGTGAGGTGGTTTGTGAGAAAGGCCAAGCCTCTGAAGGGAAACTGGCTCCCGCCGAGCCCTGGGGATTCGCCTGGTCTTTTAGGCATTTTGTTGCCTTCTGGTTCCCCAGCATTTCACAAGTGTGTCCCAGTTTAAAGATGATTTAAGTACAAAATGACCCATCAGCTGCGTTGCTGAAAGGACAAAGACCAAGCATGCAAGTCCACTACTAAAGATAACACCACACGTTTAAGGTTCGATAATGGAATTTATTCACCCTGAAGGGTAGAATTACATCCTAATGAAGTCCTGGCTTCTTCGTTATCAGATATTATCACATATTTCTGGTGTGAATTAACATGTTCAGCTTTCTGGAGAGCACCTAAAGATACTGAATAATAAAATCAGGCAGGATTTCAAGTACAACTAAAACCTGTTTTTAACAGATGAAGACCTGGGAGGGATTTGTTTAACTATTCATATCTAGACAAAAACACAGGTCCAAGCACCAGTCTCAGAGAGGGAAAACAGCGGTGTGGATAGTATGCTGTATTTGTGTTTTAAAGAAGTTTATGTTGCATTGCATATTTGTAAACCATCTCTGGAAAAAAAAAACATGGAGGAGCAATGGAAAATAAGAGTTGATGGGAAGTTTATTCTTTTTTCAGTGCACATTGCTACTCCTTAAAGGTGTGTGTACCTCTGCCATTTCCAGTGCAGCTTCCTGAGGCCAGGATTCATTGACCATATTATACTCAACCTTGTATTTCTCGGGTGGGTCTAGCACTTTTTCTGATAGGAATCTAATGAATTATGGCTGAATTTTTTACAGTCGATGTCCTTTTACACCTAAAATAAGTTAATATTAATAAAAATAAGTCAGTACTCATTTTATGGTTCTTTCCAAATGGCTTCTAGTAACTACTTAATCATTTAGAGGGGCAGAACATAACAATAATAGCTGACTCCTCTTACCAGCCCATGTCTTACTCAGACACTTGAAATAAACAGTTCTTCCTTGCAACTATGCTGATTTGTATCACGGAGAATGCATTATAAATCATTTTAATGGTTAGTGTACTTCATTTATTCCTTGGAGGGAAAAATGATTAATTTGTATATTTATAAAAATGAGAGTGCAATGAATTTTTTTAGTAGGGAGTCACACTAAATATTTTCTTAGTTTTGTTTTTTGTTTGTTTGTTTGTTGTTTTGTTTTGTTTTTTAATTAACCAATCCTTCTGTATTCTGTTCAGACTCCTGGCATTGCCTTTGGCCTGGATGTTGCAAATTCAACACCAAGGCTGAACACTGTAATCTAGAATTAAGTTAGACAGAATTGTAAAGAAAAACTCCCATGGGCACAGAAATTAAATTTTGAGGTGTCCCAGGGCATAGTTACATTAAAGATTGGGGCACTCTTGCTGCTTCTCATTCTCCAGCATTATGACACACTCTACTTTTCAGTTAGTCCTTTAATCAGGTATGTGAGCACAGAAGGAACTCAGGGCCAGTACAGGTTCGGCAGTGGTGGGGGTGAGGAGCACTGAGCAGACTTCCCAGTGTGCTATGCCTGCCCCCTTGTGTCCATTTGCTCACATTGCATCTTCCTGGGCTATTTGGTCTCCAGCGTAGGGTGTTACCAAGCAGAGGTCTCCTCAAGCTGGTCTTTATAAACAGATACCCCCCCCCCCCCGCCATTTAAATTTATTCTGTTAGTGGTTGACTTGCAAAGAGCACCATTAAATAGCTTAGAAACAGTCTGTTCTTGTGAATAGTCAGACATCTCCTTCTATCTTATTTATACAACTAATTTGCTTTGTAAATTCCCTTCCTTTCATAAAACTTCAAAGATAAACTTTAATGGACTCTGGCTCCAGTTAGCCAAATTCTGAGCTAATCACTTCATAGTGTTTAAATAGAAGAAAGAAGAACATAACTGTGACAGTGGTTTTTAAAATGACCTCCTGGCACTATCAAACTGAATGCCCTCTCCCTGTAGTTCCTGGTGTTGCTTTCACACTTATTGTACATGCATACTTACGTGTATTTATGACCCAACAAAGCTTCCAGAAAAGCGCTTAGCAGATGAGCAATCTCTGCTCCTGCCATAGACCAGACATGTTTAACTGTTTCCAGTTAGAAGTCCAGCATCTATTAACAAGGCCTACACGCCACCCAGTTGGAAAACTGTCCTATTGAGCAAAGTTACAACTGTCTGAGTAAAAGTGAATTAAAGTGATAAAACCCAATTTCTCTCTCTTCTCAATTTAAGGATTGCTGTAGCTCCTCCATGATCAACCAGGGTTCAAGTTTGTTGTTCTACAGTCCCCAGTGCACAGCTTTGATGACATGGTCCCAAGGGGTCTGGTCCATTTCCAGGCAACATACTGGCAATCCAGCCAGCAAGGAGAAAGAGACAGAAGAGCATGCTTCCTGCCTCCAAGGAGCCTTCTAAGAAGTAGCAACTAGTACAATATTCAATTGGCAAAATCCAGTCATCTCCCTGAATGTCTTCATCCTAGGTTGCTCTATCCCAAGCTAAAAGTCGGGTTTTCTGACACTATAAGAAAATCTTTCAGATTGGTATTTGAGACATTAGCAATCTCTGGACTGTATGGCACCAGTTCCCTTCATTTGGCCTAGCCAATTCCTCTGGCGTTTGTTCTAATTTTTATTAAAAGCTGACATCTCGATTCCGTTGTCCTTCCTCTTCTACAGTTCTGACCGTGAAGACTGTGCATGTGCCCACTTCACCTAACCTTCTGTCGCTCAGCAGACAGCCGTCCCTTGGCTTGTAGGTCCTCACAGTGTCGATGTGTTCCTTTCTCCACAGGTGATGGCTGTGCCGCCCAGGCCTCTACAGCTGCTGGGAGTGCTGCTCGCCATTTCTCTGAGCTCCTTCAGGCTCACTCAGGCTGGTGCCTATTATGGAATCAAGCCGCTGCCACCTCAAATTCCTCCTCAGATACCACCGCAGATTCCACAATACCAGCCCCTAGGCCAGCAAGTACCTCACATGCCTTTGGGCAAAGATGGCCTTTCCATGGGCAAGGAGATGCCTCACATGCAGTATGGCAAGGAGTACCCACACCTACCCCAGTATATGAAGGAGATCCAACCTGTGCCAAGAATGGGCAAGGAGGTGGTACCCAAGAAAGGCAAAGGTAACATCATAGTGCACAGTTTCAAAATAGCAGCTCTACAAACTCCTAAAGTATAGAAATTGAGGGGGAAACTGCAATTCAGAGACTTTTATTTTTAAATTTGTCATTGCTGTGAATCACAAACGATTCTTGCAAAGTTCAAATTTAAAGGAAGATACCGGGAAAAGGCCTTCAGGTCAGGTTATCCAATTCCAAGTGGTCAACTCTGAAATCATATAGATACAAGCAACACTAAATAGACTCAGCAGGTTTTACTTATATAGTTATGCACCATATATATATATACACATATATATGTATATATATGCAACCATAATTAAAGAAAAAAGAAGCCATGAGTTTGAGAGGGATGGGGAGCATATGAAAGGAGCTAGAGGGAAGACAGAGAGGGAAGAAAGGAAAGGGAAAATGATGTAATTATATTTTAATTTGAGAATAAAAATTAATATAGAAGTTTGATCCTCGGTATCAATAAAAAGTTAAAATTATAATTTGTATTTGGTTTTAATATTTCAGCTATCATCAGACTGAACAAAGCATATTTAACCACAGTCTATCCTTAAAAATACGATTCATTTATTTAAGCATTCACTGGCTATCTAGTGAACACCTGGCTGGGGCTTAGGCTCTGAGCACATTGCAGGGAGTTCAGGGAGCAGCAGGATGAAAGGATAGGGTTAAAGAAAAGTCACAAGTCAGTCTTCGGAGCTAAGGAAACAATGTCTTGAGGAACTTATATAAAAGAAGGATCAAATGAAAACATTTCACAAACTAGGTGCTACATGTAAGAGTTTTCAGTTCTGCTCTAAGGTACACAAGTCAGTCAATCAGGAAGCTAAAAGGCACAGAAAAAGTTCCCATCACTTCCTAGAACTATGTTCTAGGTCTATTACACCTACAAAGTACCCATGCCTGTGAGATACTTTCCTGTAAATTTTGCTTGCTTATCTGGAGTTCTCAGAAACCTAGCATGTGTGGGGCAAACAGGAGCAGCAGAGTAGCAATCGCCATGAGGGACGTGGAGGTCATCCCCACTGACCCCGTGACAATGCAGAAACCTCTGTTCTGGAGAAGTACTGGATTTGACACTAAGAAGCCTAGGTGCCGAGAGCCCAGACACCTATTAATTCACTCCCTTGGTCTTTAAAATAAGATTGTTGAGAGACTCGGTGGCATAAGGTAAGTGGTGCCGAGTAAGAACTAAAGCCCTGAGGGGTTTTGTATGGCCGTAGCTGTCAGTCATTGTAGATGCTCAGGTGGCATGGAATGTGTTCCAGACACTGTGCTAAACACCAGGGATCCCAGACCAATAAGAGGTGAGACTTCAGGGTGGTGGTAGATGTCTGTAGTCAGGAGGTTGCGGCAAGAGGATCACAAAATGCAAGGCCACCCTGGGTTCCATGGTAACATGTAGTGTCAAAAAAGTGTGTGTGTGTGTGTGTGTGTGTGTGTGTGTGTGTGTGTGTGTGTGTGTGTATTAGGACTCTTTCTCAGACTTTCCCTTGATTACAATTTGCTTACTAGTGTGTGTTAATGTAAGTATTCCTTATATTTTTCACTCTCCAGGAGCTGGTATACCTTTTAGGGAATTATCTAGGTCAGTGGTTCTCAATCTGTGAGTCACAACCCTTCCGGGTATAGAATGATCCTTTCACAGAGGTCACCTAAGATCATTGGAAAACACAGATACTTGCAATTACAATTCATAACAGTAGCAAAATTACAGTAATGAAGTAGCATTTTGTATGAAAGGGTCACAGCATTGGGAACGTTGAGAGAGACCCACTCCAGGTCTTTTTCCCCCTCCTTTCTTGCATGGCCTGCCTGGCGTCTGGTGCATCTTGTATCTCCTCAGATGATTACTTGTATCTGGAAAGAATATGACTGCCAAGGTTCTCTTTTGTTTCCTGGCAGTAGTTCTGCAAATAGCACAATGATCAGACTCAAACACTACTTACAGTTGAAAGAAGACTTTGGACCACATGTTTCATGTCTTCATTCCCCACTGCTCCCAATAGCATGGATCATATAGAGTTGCTTGCCTGCAAAGCACAGCATACACTCATATGTGCTCTGTATTTCAGTAACAAGGTATCAGAGCTTTCCTAGCTCTTCTCTCTTTACGTGGCTGTATTATTCTGGCTATAGTCATAGGAAAGCAGATATACCGGCCGCTTAAGTGACTTAGTCAAAATCTCATGCCACAGCCAGAAAGATAAACAAGGTTTTCTGTTTCTAAACCAAGCGTCTCTCCTAGTCTAAACTGTAAGCCACCCTAAAATATCTATTCACTTCTCTTGACTAAACCTAAATTTCTAAGAAAAGTAATTTCTTCAAAAATGTATATTTGAGGCTTGAGAAATCTTATAACGTGTCAGAGACATTAAGCAAACCCATCGGGTTGAGACAGAAGTAGAGAGATGTTATCGAGTCACATACAAAACAAAGAGCTTTCCTTTTTCCTGGGTCCATGGGAAAAATGATTTTCATCACCCGTATTTCAGCACCTGAAGAAACATTATTTAGTCCTACATTATTAAATTAAATGTAATACAAGCCAGTCAGGCACAAATAGACGTACATCATGGGTCTCACTAACATGCAGCATTATAACAATGTACAGAGGCAGAGAATGGAACGCTGGTCATTCTTAGGGCAGACAGTCAGGGGTATAAGGCGTTGAGGAGAGGCTTAGATGGTGAAGACAAGAGTCAAGAGGTGCAAAGCCTCAGGCAGGCAGGAAGAACATGGTTTTGATTTTGTTTTTATTCATTCTTAGGTCTATTACCAAGTGTGGTAAATATAGTTAGCAATATATTATGTATTTCAAACTAAGAATAACTTCAAATGCTGTCCCCACAAAAATAACTATGGAAGGTGACAGAAATGTTGATTAGCTTGGTTTAATTATTCCACATTTTATTCATAAGTTGTACCATCACTTTGAAACCCATAAACCTATAATTTGACAATTTATAATGAAATCTTTCAGTTGATAAGATGGTCATGGAAAAACACAATATAACTTCAAGTAGAAAAGTTTGAAAAATAAAGAGTGTGACTCCAGCGTTCTCTAACATGCACAGAAATGTGTACCTTAAACAAATAAGATGAAAATCATGTCGAGTACATATCTCTGCTTTGTGGGCTCAATGGTGACGTGTTGTTGTTGTTGTTGTTGTTGTTGTTTTTCCTTTCAGTATACAACTTCGACCTTCCCAAATTCTGTATAATGAACACACAACAGTACCTTCAACTTTCACGCTTGGAAAATTTTTGTTTGGATATTTTTCGGCTTTTAAAATTTAGCCAGTGCTGACATAAGCATCTGCATATAAGAGTTTTCAGAACAACTCAGACACATCGCAGAAACTGCCAGCTTGATTTTCCTTTAAATACTGGCACCATTTAGGGGAAGGTTTGGGAAGATGACCATATTCTCTCGGCTTCCCTTTTGATAACATAATAGGCAAATGTGTCAAAATTAGATGACTGGTATTACTTCCTACAAATAAGAGATAACCAACCTCCTCCTTTCTCTACTTTTCCAGGAGAAATACCTTTAGCCAGTTTGCGAGGAGAACAAGGTCCCCGTGGAGAACCCGGACCAAGAGGACCACCTGGGCCACCAGGCTTGCCAGGTCATGGAATGCCTGGAATCAAAGGAAAACCAGGGCCGCAGGGATATCCAGGGATTGGGAAGCCGGGTATGCCTGGAATGCCCGGGAAGCCAGGAGCCATGGGAATGCCTGGAGCAAAAGGCGAAATTGGACCCAAAGGTGAAATCGGTCCTATGGGAATCCCAGGACCACAAGGACCTCCAGGACCTCATGGACTTCCTGGCATCGGGAAACCGGGTGGGCCAGGGTTACCAGGGCAACCAGGAGCAAAAGGTGAGAGAGGGCCCAAAGGACCACCAGGACCTCCTGGTCTTCAGGGTCCCAAAGGAGAGAAGGGCTTCGGGATGCCAGGCTTGCCAGGTCTGAAGGGTCCTCCAGGTATGCATGGCCCTCCTGGCCCAGTTGGGCTGCCAGGAGTAGGAAAACCAGGAGTGACAGGCTTCCCTGGACCCCAGGGTCCCCTGGGGAAGCCAGGCCCTCCAGGGGAACCTGGACCACAAGGTCTTATTGGTGTACCGGGAGTTCAAGGACCTCCTGGGATGCCTGGAGTTGGAAAGCCCGGTCAGGATGGGATCCCTGGCCAGCCAGGATTTCCAGGTGGTAAAGGGGAACAAGGACTGCCAGGGTTGCCTGGACCCCCAGGCCTCCCAGGGGTCGGAAAGCCAGGATTCCCAGGACCCAAAGGGGACCGGGGCATTGGGGGTGTTCCTGGAGCTCTTGGGCCAAGAGGGGAAAAAGGACCAGTAGGTGCTCCTGGAATGGGGGGTCCCCCTGGAGAGCCTGGCCTACCTGGAATCCCAGGTCCCATGGGTCCTCCGGGTGCTATTGGTTTCCCTGGACCCAAAGGAGAAGGTGGGGTTGTAGGACCACAGGGTCCACCAGGTCCCAAGGGTGAGCCAGGCCTCCAAGGCTTCCCTGGGAAGCCGGGTTTTCTTGGTGAAGTAGGTCCCCCTGGCATGAGGGGTTTGCCTGGTCCTATAGGACCCAAGGGGGAAGCTGGTCACAAAGGGTTGCCAGGGCTTCCTGGAGTTCCAGGGCTGCTTGGACCCAAGGGAGAACCAGGCATACCTGGAGATCAGGGTCTACAGGGGCCCCCAGGGATCCCAGGGATTGTAGGACCAAGTGGCCCTATTGGACCACCTGGGATTCCGGGCCCCAAAGGAGAACCAGGCCTCCCAGGGCCTCCTGGATTTCCCGGTGTAGGGAAACCAGGAGTAGCAGGACTTCATGGTCCCCCGGGGAAACCTGGTGCCCTTGGGCCTCAAGGCCAACCTGGCCTTCCTGGGCCCCCAGGCCCTCCAGGGCCCCCAGGGCCCCCAGCTGTGATGCCCCCTACCCCACCACCCCAGGGAGAATATCTGCCAGATATGGGACTAGGAATTGATGGAGTGAAACCTCCACATGCCTATGCGGGCAAGAAGGGCAAGAACGGGGGCCCAGCTTATGAGATGCCTGCGTTTACTGCAGAGCTGACTGCACCTTTCCCACCAGTGGGGGCCCCAGTGAAGTTTGACAAGCTTCTGTACAATGGCAGACAGAACTACAACCCGCAGACGGGCATCTTCACCTGTGAAGTCCCGGGTGTCTACTACTTTGCTTACCACGTTCACTGCAAGGGAGGCAACGTGTGGGTTGCTCTCTTCAAGAACAACGAGCCCATGATGTACACATATGACGAGTACAAGAAGGGCTTTCTGGACCAGGCATCTGGGAGTGCAGTCCTGCTGCTCCGGCCCGGAGACCAGGTGTTCCTCCAAATGCCCTCAGAACAGGCTGCCGGACTCTACGCCGGGCAATATGTCCACTCCTCCTTTTCAGGATATTTATTGTATCCCGTGTAAAACAAAGAAAAGAAAAGAAGAAAAAGAGAGATTTAATAGAAGAAAAGAAAATGACATTTTAAAAAAATTGAAAACAAATGCTTCAAAAACACTTATGTAGTTGGAAAGTTATATTTAAGTGAAAGTTTGGACCATCATGTACAAATAAAATCTAAGATGCATGTTTAATACTGTACACAGCAGATTGTACCAGGATGATGGGACAGATTTATGGATGAAATACAGACGCCTGTGTTGTACCCACTGGACTCATATTAGCTGTTGCATGTTATATGATTTCATAACCTGCTTATTCAAATCAGTCAAAATATGTCAGTCTGGAAGGTCATAGCTAATGAAAGTCACACATTCCTTGTGCTCCCTTTAAAAAAAAATGGTTTTTTTTTAATGTGCCTTGAGAGGTTAGTGGTGACAGTTACATACTGTATTTATTTGCATAATTTCCTCTCTCTTTGTGCAGATGTTTTGCTGTGGGATGTTGGAGAGTTGTTCTGTAGTGCAAAGACCATGGTAATCTCTAGTCCGAAGGCTATTTCTCCATTTCAGAGGCTGTGCTTTAGCCGCAGGTCTCCCTAGTCGAAATTGTGCTGTGGTCGTCCCCAGAAGAGCAGATGTGCCAACGGCCCCGTGTGTATTTGCTCAGAACTCTCTTTGCCAAGTACATTGTGAGATGCTAGTGTGTGATACAGGGCAGAGTCCACAGGAGTTCAGAACTCAGCTCAGAGAGATTAATGTATTAACTCCTCTAAAGAGTTTCAGTTTGGCATTTCTCTGGAACCTAATTTTCTTCTTCCCTCCTGTAATTTATAATATAGCCTAAACAATATAAACAAATTTTTTAAAGAACCTTCCCTCACATAGCTTTATCATTTTATGAACCTTTATTATTAATAGTAATTATCAGTTATGTTTACATGCATTAAAAACATCCCCCTAATTTGCCCATACAACCAATGGTAGTCAGGTTTCAACTTGTCTGTATGTGTTTTAGTAGCTGTGATTTTCTTCAGTATATGATTTATGTCATCTGAGGTTCCAAAGTCAATTAACAAAATCCAAGCCTTTTTTTTTTAATTTGGGAAAAAGACAATCAGAATTAATACAAAAATAATTACATTTTAAAGGAGTAATTATAATGTTTGATATGTAAAAGCAGGTTGTTGCTTCCAGATATCGGTACTAATATTGTAGGGAAATGACTGTTTCTTTAACATCAGCCTGTGGAAGAGATAGCTGGAATGTCATAAAGCAGTGGCAGCCCATGCCTCTTATGTCACCACACACTCAGCACCACAGCCAAAACAGGTCTGAAAGGAGAAATAGCTCTTCAGGCTCTCACTAAGGCACATACTAGGTTCTTTGGGCATTGCTCAAAACACAAACATTTGAAAGTTGACTATTCATTTGCTCTTAGTTGTTTGGGGAAGTGATGTGGGACTACAGTGATAGATCTAATCTACGTTCCTCAAACCTTCAGAGTCAGGAAGTGAAGAGATAGACATAGACTGGGAAATACACAAATAAATACAGTATAAAACATGGTATATTCCAAATCTGAATTATTTACCACCACAAATTCTCTTCTCCTGGCTTAATATTTGTCTTTTCCCTTTATGATATACAGGCTCCATTTCTTCTCAAATTTTAAGACAAATTAGTTCATTAGCACAAGGTTTCTCATTCACTGTTAATTGTACAAAGCACTTTCGCATCCAAAAGATGTCCTACCTAGCCCTCACTTGCAGAGTAAACAACACCTATGAATAGTTATCCTTTGGGTTGCTCCTGAGGACACTGGCTTGTAGCTAGTGACTGTGGAAGTCATATGGGTCTCTGAGATCTTTCTACTAAATGGCTATATTGAAATGGTTTGGAGGACAGTCAGGCCAGATGCGTTGTAAAGTTGCTTTTATCTGTACATGTATGGTATTTTAGTTTCCATAAAGAAAGACAGAAATTATCTCTTAAGTTGAACCAAATTTTGCTTTTTGAGGTATCTTCCAACTTATTTATTGGTTGTTACTCAATTGCCTCTGTGTATATGTGTGTGTGTGTGTGTGTGTGTGTGTGTGTGTGTGTGTGTGTGTGTTACCATATATCAGGCATATGCTTCTAAACTTTTAAATGGAGGAGGAGCAAAATCTATGCCGGATACTGTATATTCTACCATGGTGCTAATATCAGAGCTAAATGATACTCCATTTAATTTAAAGAAGAGTTTTAAATAATTATCTATGTACCCGTCGTACCCTTTTGAGTGTTGTGCATCGTGTTAACACATTAGTGTGAAAACAGATGAAACAACTGTATGTTCTACAGTCTAGGGACAGTACTATGTTCCCTGTTTAATTCAAAATTAACAAGAGCTTTTCCATGTGAAATGGACCAAACTGGCGTTGTTCTTATTTAAACACAGAGTTTTAAAGTAGCATGACATCCCACGGGGGAAAAGAATGTCTGTAGAGGATAATTGTCCTCAAATATTTTACAGAAACAAAGAATGATGAAAAGACTGGTAACTTGTTTGAGTTTCCATGAATAGATTTGAGACTTAATGGCAAATCAATTTTGTATTTAAATTTTTGTACTGATTTGAAAAACAGATCATTAAATATCTTTAAAAGTATGTTTCTTGTCTTGTGTGCATCACCCAACTGACACTGTAGGAACCTAAAGTGGTTTTTAATCACCCATTGTAGTAATCAGCCACTGAACCTGGGGCTAAAAATGACCATAGTTTAAACAGGACAGTTCACTCCTCTTCAGTGTAACAACTCTGTAGATAAGCAGACCAGAGCTCCTCTGTAGCCTGGTCACTATCCCACATTCCTTCTACATTCTTGCTTCTCCACCCAAGAGTGTTGGCCTTCTCCTTTGGTGGAAGACAGTCGACCTTAGCAATCACATGCCAGCTGGTGGAAGGGTGGAAAAATCAGGAAGAAGAGGATACTAGTTTATCTTTAAAAAAAAAATACAACCTAGCAGTTTAGATCCCTCCTTCCATACCCATTGCCATGAATTTAGTCATGTCATAACTAGTTGAGAGACAGTGTAAGACATGATCAGCTCTCAGCAAGCTCCTGCTGGACTAAAAATCAGGAGTCCTGTTCTTAAGGGAGAAGGAAAAACAGACAGTAACACCCACCATCACTGAAGAAAAGGCCTTCGATCTCTGTTCCCCGGAGAGACAACAATCTTCACACACTCCATTCAATTTGCCATACTACCAGTACCTTAAAGGAAAGTAGTGGTGAGTGGATTTTCTAGGCAGATACATGTGTATTTCAATAACTTAAAGGCCTCATAAGCAGCACTAGAGAGAAAAGCATGCTTTTGTGATGACTTATCAAGTTCTGAATGATCAAAGCATCATATCTAGACTATGATAAAGGCGTTGCTCAGATCATTCAAGGAACAAGTATGTACCACCAGTCTGAGAGGTTAACTTGTTTGAACTGTCTTACCAGAAGATCAAGATCACTTCTATCCTCACAAAGCTCAATGAGTTCTATCTCATTCTACAATCAAAGGCGTTATCATTATATTACCTGTGGTCAGGGCCTATTCAAAGGACTGAGATAAGGGCTCATACTGAAAAGAAACTTTATCCAAAAGCAAATCAATAGTACATATCAGAAAGAAATATACCATCAATATTGACAGTGGGCCACAAGCATGAGAAAGCACTCAAGGATCTCGGTTATTGTTTGGGGCATCCTTTGATAGAATTCAAGAGGAGGGGATTATTTACTAAAGGGGTGTAGCATGAGCAGTTCTCTGTTCTGATTGATAGATTAGTCACAAAATCATTTTTTGATGTCAATGTACCTTCCTATAATGTCTTAGTTAGGGTTTCTATTGCTGTGACAAAACACCAAGACCAAAAACAAGTTGGTGAGGACACAGTTTATGTGGCTTACACTTCTAGATCATCATCAAAGGGAGTCAGGATAGGAACTTGGAACCTGGAGGCAGGAGCTGATGCAGAGGCCATAGAGGAGTGCTGCTTAATGGCTTGCTCCTCATGGCTTGCTCAGCCTGCTTTCTTATGGAATCCAGGACCACCAGCCAAGGGATGGCACCACC